CGGCGGTGTTTTTCCGCGTGGAAAACAGGAAAAAAAACACGAACACGGACGACGGTCAATGCTGGACTGGCGATGGAATTTCGGCGCGACTGCGCGAATCGACGGCGCACCTTTTCTATTTTTCTTTTTTTTTTATTACAGACGTGTCACACGTTTTTCCAGCGTTTTCAAAGAACCATGTATATTCTCACAAGATCTTGAAATAGCGTAAGAATCCTTTTCGAGGACTTTGCAGACGTTGGGAATTTCTATTCGCCGGAGACGAATTTGTAGATTCGCGGTAGGGTCTTAATGAAATCGTTTAGAGGGAAAGTGCTAATTGGGGCGTGGAAGCTTTATGGTGTCTGGCGTTGATTATGACACTGGAAGCATGAATTTGACGTATTCTTTTCCTGACTTTTGCCAAATACTTTTGAAACCAACGCTGGGCAATTGGGGGGGGGGGAAATATTTCGAGAATTATTTCATCTTGGAAAATTTATCTGAGACTGCTCTTCGAATCTGGAAACTTGAAAATATTCAACTGAGAAAAATTGATTAAGTTAAGAACTTCGAAATTGAAACTTACGGACAAACGACAGATTTTGAAGATCGAAAATTGGAGATTGAAAAAAGTACGGAAAACAGAAAAAATTAAAAATGAAAAATCAAGAGTTGCAGCGATGTTGTCACACGTGAATTCCTGCAGAGTGTCGAAATTTTCCATTACTTTTTAAAAGATCATGCAGCTGAGGATTAAAAACAGTGAATTGAGAATTACTAATAATTCCATTTGTCAAGAAAAAAAGGCTTAAAAATAATGAAATAACAAAAAAGCAGTTGCAAAAAAGATTGAATGTTTTATTATCGAAAATTGCAATTTGTAACGTTGAAAGAAATTCAAAACAAAAACTATTTGGACAAGAATAATTAATTTTGAGTTTCACTCGTTTGGGTGAACAGGGTTGGAAATTATAATTGAGATAAAGTAAGAATTGTATTTATAAGTAGGTTTATGAAAAATTTGGAGAGTGGTTGAAAGAATCTTCTCGAGATTCCCTTACCAGCGAGACTGTTTCTATTTCTCCTCTCCATTTATATGGTCATTCTCTCTGTTGCTGTTGCTGCTGCGGCTGTGACTGCGTTTTCCGAAGCTGTTGCTGCTACAAGTCGATATGAAGCATGCGCCGTCATTGTGAATTCACGTCATTATCGTAATCTTCAGGAGCCACGTACGCCAGGCAATAATTTCCAAAGAATTTATAATTAATAACAACCGTGCGTTAAATCCTTTAAAAGAATTCTCATCGAATTTCATCAATAAAAAAAGCAAAATATTGATATTCTGCTTTCGGTACAAGATCCATTAAAATTTAATGTATTTTAAATATATGGAAATATATCCTTCAATTTAATATCTATCATATTTACAATATTCTTAATCTTTAATTTCGACAATATCACAAGGTTTTCTAAAAATTATTTTTTAAATTCTCACGATTTTCGATATTTAAACTCAAAGAATAAAATAAATTACTTTGCTATCAGCTGTACTACATCTTCCACGTATTATCTCGTTGTCGTGCAAAAGTACGTCAAAAATAAGCCGAACAATATACATACATACACAATTCAACTACTTAACAATGCCATCAAGTGTTATGACAGGGTTTCAAGGTATTACAATAAATTTCTCTTCTTGCAGTCAAGATCGGAATAAGGTTAGGTCAACGTGCAAAAGCATAATAATGTATGCGAGATTTCATCTCACGTTCGACGCCGAGACGTTTCTTAAACGATGGAACGAATTTGCAACCAGTTTTTGAATTATTGAACAGGAGTGACGCAACGCCGGAACGCGCAACGAATTCATTACAGCATATACGCAAAAGGCGGACGACTTGTCTGCTGGATGGTTAAAATGTGGGAGAGCGATTCATTTGTAACAACACGGTCAATGTGGGTGGCACAATAACGATAATTATCAACGTTGCTAATTAGCATCGTTGTCATTCAGGGGCCCATACACCGGATCTTTGGATCAAAAGTGCGGTTTATGTTGGATGTTATCCCCTTTTTGCTTACGTCCCTTCGATAATATTGTTTGAACAAGTATTTATTGAGTTTTTGTATCTTTGTATTTTACACGTTGCATTATTATATAATTTTGCGTGTGATATTGCATAATTTTATGTGTACAGTAACTGAGGAAAAAAAAAATGAAATTTTATGTCACGATACGAGTTAAGATAAAGAAGTTTCATATTTCTATTCCCACTATCTATTTCCATTTATTTCGTAAAATTGATATTCGGAGTACTTTGATGTATTTTATTATTGATAATTTCGTTATCTCTGTCGATGTTTCGATTTCCAAGTAATTCTTGATAAAATAGCTTAATATTAAAGTCCAACAAAGAAACAGTCATCCGATCAAACTTGATGTTAAAACACCAATAATCGTCGATTGCTGTTAAATTATTGAAATTAACCGAGGTAAGCTTCAAAGTGAATAATAATCTAATTGTATGCACTTATGCATTGTAATAACATAATTTGTATTTATTATTTGCTGATAATAATATAATTACAAGCCACATATTCATACAGAATTTATACTATATCTTAATATTTTCCATATCATAAGTTTCACTTTCCAATAAAATTTAATCTATACACATTTCCTTTAAAATCTCGCGTTTTTATTACAGAAAAGTGACTTGTTTCTATTTCCTTTTCAACAAGATAGAAACTAACACTACATTCCCTATAAACGAAAGGACAAATTTTTAAACAACGAACATCCTGCGATCAACGCACGTGTTCAAATATTCGCGCGCCCTTCGTTGTCCCTAGCACGTCACGCTGTCCCATCTAGTAACTTTTCTCCATCTCCCAAAATAGCCCATAAATCGCACACCCAAAAATTGTCACGCTGTCGTTCACTTTTCTACTACCTCCGCAAACGAAAATCACGCGTAGAATTTCTCGCGATTCCTCAAATTAAAACGTCAAACATTCCAGTAGGTCGACTTCTGCAACGTGCAATGTGGCGCCATCTTGTCGACGAGCGGTCAGTCGCACGCTTGCACTTTCCATGGCAGTAGGCGGACCTGTGTTTTGTCGGGTGGTTAGGTTGCTCGTTCTCCGCGTTCGAATGCGAATCCCAGTACGAAAGAGCCATGAAATAAGAGGACCGTACGATGCACACGACGCGCAGCGTGAGCCGAGATACGTCTGCACGTCGTACCGTTTGAAAATCGTCTCGGTCCGAGCCACCGAGAGCCCCGCGCGCGCACATTTTAAGGTTAAAACCGTGCGGAATCGGTCGGGCGCGTAACAATGCGCCGCGTGAGAAATTCGTACGGTGAAAGTCTGCTGGACTTGTACGTGCAATCGGAATTCCGGCGAGGCGAACGTTGTCGCGGGCTCCTCGTCGCTTTCTGACCGCCTTCCTCTTCGTGCGTGCGTGCGTCTCGTTTCGTGTGCGTTCTCGTTCGCGGTGCAAACACACCACGACAGCCCTGAGTCGTCCGAGTGACGAGGAGAGAAGAGGACAGAGAGTGAGAGAGGGAGGGAAATGCCGAGGCTGCTCGAGCGGCGATGATTCCGCTCGAATTTCGCCGCCGTCCAATTTCAGATAGGATTTCCTCGCGTTGCTCGTGCAACGAGTGACCGTAAACAGAAACCGCGTCCCCGACGAACATGCGCGCTCACGGAATGGAAACGTAACTGCTCTCCAAACTGTTTCCCACCGTCGAAAGGTAATCGATGATCTTACTTCCTCAGGATCTCTCCTCATTCCTTTCATTTCTTTTTCGTCTCTCTTTTTCTTTTTATTCTCTTTTTCGGAAGGGAGGGGGATTTAACATGTGCCGTGTTGTGTCTGACGCGCACGGTGGTCCTCCTTCCCGTTCAAATTGGTCGTAGATCGCGTGTTTTCCTCCTCTCGTTTTTTTGTTTCGAAATTGATCGCACGCACATTTTACGAAAATGTTCTTGCAAAGAACGGTAACGAGTTTATCCAAAACGTCGGCAACAATATCCTCCGAATATCTAGCTGACTGTTTCGCTTGAATGTAACCGAAATCTATAACCTATCAATTAGTTAATGAGTAATTGTGCGAGAGGTCTCTGGTGTTCTTATTTTGTTGGCCTTTCGTTCAACCTTGAATTATTATTAAAAACAGTTAGGCAGAGAATACCAAGCATGCATCATTGAAATTCTTTCCTATCGTACATCAAGTACGATCGTTAAAGTAACTGGTTCATGTATGTGTGTGTGTGTGTGTGTGTATGTGTGTGTGTTGCGATCCACACTATATGTATATGTGTCGGACGTTTTTTTTTTTGCACGCAGAAAGCAACTCGTGGCATGGCATGTGCCGGCAATTCTTCTCTTCTAGCAGTTAAACATTATCTCATTTCCTGTTCGAGGGGGGACAGAAATGAATGATAAATACTATATTTGTATTATTCTATACACCTACGTATATTCCTGCGATTACTAATTGTCTCATGTACTGCGAGAAAAACAGAGAAAACCAATTTAACAACGCCGAGTATGTAACACTTTTCTCGCCCCTGTAACATTGTAATTTCTGAAATAAATAAATTGTCTCCTTGCACCACGTGTTTTTTTCCTTTCCTCCCATCGTCCACTTTTACAATTCAATTCCACTTATCTTTGTTGTTAATGTTAACAAACGCAATAACACGTGCTCATCTTTCAGGATATTAGAATAATTGAACATGGCAGAGGATGAGGGCACGGAATGGCTGCAAGAATTGCTGCACGACGTGCAACTCTCACAGTTCTTCACCAGAATAAGGGATGACCTGCAAGTCACCAGGTTGCATCACTTTGACTACGTACAGCCGGAGGATCTGGAGAAGATAGGATTAGGAAAGCCAGGTATCAGAAGATTGTTGGACGCGGTGAAGAAAAAGAGGAATACTCAGTGGAAGAAAAGCTTGATGACGAAGATCAGGCCTGGCGGTAGTACGAAAAGCAATAAGAGATCCTCTCAGCCTGCTGAAGGTTCCTCGGTGCTAACGTGTCTCATTCAGGATAAGGATGTGTCACTGTCTATTAAATTGGGTGATGGTAGTTTCGGCGTGGTGAGACGTGGAAAGTGGACCTCTCCCTCTGGTAGAGTATTGCCAGTTGCAGTGAAAGTTTTAAAAGCCGATGCCCTGACACAACCTAGCGTTATTGAGGATTTCGTGGCCGAGGTCCAGGCAATGCACACGTTGGATCATCACAATCTCATTAGGTGTGCATTTTAAGGATATTTAGGCAGACGTAAAGAGACTTAACTTTGCATGAATTTGTAACTGAACGAATCACTTTCTTTCAGGTTGTACGGGGTAGTATTGTCGCAACCGATGATGATGGTGACGGAACTGGCCCCTCTGGGAGCGCTGCTCGACTATCTCCGAAAACAGTGCGGCCAAATTTCAGTATTAACCTTGTGCAACTACGCTCTGCAAGTGGCAACTGGTATGGCGTACTTGGAAGCGAAACGTTTCCTGCACCGTGACCTAGCTTGCAGGAACGTTCTGCTCAGTTCAGTGGACAAAGTGAAAATCGGTGATTTTGGCCTAATGCGTGCGCTGCCGCAGCAGGAGGACTGTTACGTGATGACAGAACACAAGAAAGTGCCGTTTCCCTGGTGTGCTCCGGAATCGCTAAAGGCGCGTCAATTCAGTCACGCGTCAGACGTGTGGATGTTCGGTGTAACGTTGTGGGAAATGTTGACGTTCGGTGAAGAGCCGTGGGTGGGTTTAAAGGGATCAGAAATCCTTCGAAAGATAGACAAGGATGGAGAACGATTGCACGAACCCGAGGCAACGCCGCCAGATATGTACCAATTGATGCTTCATTGTTGGGCTCGGGAACCTTCGGAGAGACCGACATTCGCCTCTTTGAAGTCGTCTCTCACAGGGATGGTCCCAGCCGTGATGAAAGCCGTTAGTCACTTCACGATGGCCGGGAAAATGACCATAGAACAGGGCGATCAGATAGTTATTTTAGACGGTCGGCCAGAGAACTATTGGTGGAAGGGTCAGAACCAACGAACCTTCCAGATCGGACTCTTTCCTCGTTGCTTCGTGGATCCTATGAGGCGAAAACAGCCGGAAGACATCAGCAAGCCGCTAGAGAACTCCTTCATCCATACTGGCCATGGTGCACCTTTCGGCAAAAGTTGGGGCAGTCCCATTTATATTGACGACGTGTACCTTCGAAATCCAATGGAACCACCCGACGTCGTGGGTGTTACTGTTCCACCTGAAAATCTCGTTAAGGACAAATACTGCGGCACACCGAGATCGCGAAAACAATTTAACTACACGAAACTGCAAAACGACGTCGGTGCTAGCCCTGTGAAAACGACGAACACTTCTGTTCCCGGTTGCAGCCAGGAAGGCAGTTTGATAGATCTGTCGCCGGAGGAGATGGTGAATACGAGCGAGACGCAATCAGACACTGCCTGTCGACGAGTGGTCAACATCCTCGACGAGCCTATCGACGATCTGGAGCGACAACACCAGACAAACTGGCAGGACGACGATCCTCGAACCTACGCCAATTTCCCTGGTAACGTCGATCCGGCTTACTCGGACCCATTCGATACTTCCTCTGTATTCATGAAGCTGCCCCATTCGAGGTACTATAGTCAAGTTCCTTCCGACGTGAGCAGTCGGTACTTCAAGACGCAGACGTATGGGAATGTGCAGAACCAGGAAGGTGGTGGTAGCAGTCAGGACAGTACAAATTATTTCACGGCCGAGTCCGCTACGGACGTGAAACACTATTCCATAAATCTGAGCAAGGAGAGTAGGAACGATAGTATCAACCTGAATGTGAACGTGGACACGGAGGAGAACAACGCGTACAGCCAAAACCACTACAGTGAAATTGACAAACCTAGTCCACCTATGACGAATTGGTCTAATTGGCCGGAAGACTTGCAGAATGACGTGACGCAGACGTACGTGAATGTTTCTAGTCGGAATTTGCAGAGCTCTGACGCGCCTCCTCCTCCACCCGTGGCTCCTAACGAGAGCCCACCGAAGCCAAAGTCGAACCACGACTTGGCCCAAAGTCTGAGTGAGCTGACCATCAATTCTCGCAATCTCTCCCCCAAGAAATTAGACTCTGCTTTCTTAGCTGAGTTGGAGAAGCATTTGGGTGAGAAGGAGGCGAGCAAGAACATGATCACCAGTCAACAAAACCCCGATTTGTCTGATTCTTACTCGTCTGTGAACAAGCTACAGGACAGCACGATTCCAGCGTTGAGGCCTCCACCTCAGACCATCAAGCGAAAGTCACCTCAGATGGACTACAGAAACACCAATCTACCCAGCAAGGTGCAGAATTCCTGGCCATCGAAGAGTACGAACATCCAACAGCCTCCTAGAGCACAGCTTGAGCAGCGCTTGGAAACAAGCACGGAACAGATGGTGGGTCAAATCTGGCAGCAGTCTCAAGCGCAGCAGCACAACGCTTTCGCTACTGCCCAGAGTAATATGAACCTGTTGCAAATAGCTCCTAGCAACGTGTCCAAGCCAACGTTCAATCACGCACAGAACTCGCTACCAACGTCCAACCAAGCCAGCCACTTTCAGAATCCTTCGTTGCCAACTGGTAGCCACGGAATAACCCAGATTCAGAACGATCTTCACCAAGTACACGCCAGTAACGTAGCCTCCTCCTCCAAGCCTCCGAACGTCATGTTCTCGGAACAGGTGTACGCAGAGTTGAAACAGACTGTACCAAATCTGGACCAACTGTCACAGAACGAGTTCAACACGCTGTACAACAAAACGGTGCAGCAGAATATTTTAAGGAACTATTACGCGGCTAGCACGTCGAGTAACTCCGCCAGTGATTCGGCCAGCAATCTAAGTCATAGTCACTATCTGGAGGGAGCTTCAGCCAGCTCCCAGACTCGTTCTTCGGGCCAGTCTGCGAGAAATACATCCGGCCAGGGTCACCCGTGCGACTTCAGCCCTCATCTGAAGCAGCCGCCGGTATACAATCCTCCGCCGCCAGCCACGTGGAGTCCGATGAAGTCGGTTCAGAACGAGCTGGGACAGGGACAGATCGCAATGAAGTCCAATTTAGCCAGTAATCTGGTCAACAGCTCCAATCTGTTGCAGCTCACGCACACCAACCAGCCTCAAGAGGGCGCCATGACGGCGCAAGCATCCTCCTCGACGAGATGTCTGCCTCCTCAGATGACCGAGACAGTCGTTAATACTCAATTAGTCCCCTCCACGTCGGCGTACCCCTCTGGCATCAGCCCACCATTGACCGCCACCTCTCAACAGCTGGTCATGTCTCTTAACGACGAATTCCGAGCGAACAAAGTGATGAAGGTGCAGAGAGAGGCGGCCGACGCGTCGCAACAGGAAATACTCACGGCGTTACAGGCCACTGGCTGGGACACTAATCAAGCGGCTAAACAGATACTGAAAGACAGGCAGGCGAAGATCGAGTCCCTTGTCAGGTATGTTTGTTTGATTGGTTGGTTGGTTTTGTAGGATTTAGGAGAGAAATTGGGAAGCTCTTTTTGTAGCAAGTGGATTTTGATGGAAATTCAATGTTCGAGATTTCGAGGAATGCTTTTGAATTAAATTCATAGAATTGAGTTTGGATCGGATGCTTTTGAGTTAAATTCATGATGAATTAGCAAAATTCCTCTCAGCTTGATATTCGAAAATTTTTAGAAATCAGCGTCGGTGAATTTGCAAAATTATTATTATCCTTTGCTTTCTTCGTCCCTTTGTCTCATGATCTTCCCGTGAATGTATATACGTTTGCTCCAGAGCAAAACGCTGAAATATTATATGCAGTTTGTGGTCGGTGATTCAGAGTCTTGCAAGTTGGAAGTAAAGTCAGTCACTTTTTTTTCTCTCTGTCATTTTTTAGCCACTGTTCCTTGAATTTCATCCGTAATCCATTTCATGGGAAATAACGATACGACGGATTGATTCACTTCCACGTTCTGACGAGAGGACGAGAATTGAGAGTATTAAATTCTAATCCTCTTCGTGAAAGAAAAAAAAAAA